CTGGCTTACCAGCTCATGGTTAAGAGTAGGTCTGGAGCAAGGTTTGCATTGCATAAGTTTGACATTTACTGACACTTAAGTTAGAGAGACTGGAATCGTAACTTTATGTTTGACAGGACTATGTGGGGTGAATATCCACTAGATTGGTCCCGGCTGATATACAGGCGGGTGATGATAATGTCATTTGATTTTCTTGAGTCATCATCCTTCACATTTTATCATGAAAGTTCATCTGTGTTGGTAGTAATCATAGTAAAAGGTTGAACTTTATTCCAACACACAATTGTACAGGGATCAAATTTTCAGCGACCACTGTCGCCTTCATCATGATAATTAATGACCAATCACTTCACAACGTGATCTCGCGAGAATTACGGTTTACAAACACGTGACCTTATTCACACGAGATTTTACTGATACGTGACGTAAGCAATTGATCAAAAGTGCCAGGGAGTTTATACCCTTCACATTTTCTTCACAGATACGTCGCCGCTATGTTTACCGCTGAGTTAGTGTTCATTCCTCCCGGTTACCCCCGGCAGTCGGCAACCCCCGGATCCGGACAGAGCCTCCTGGCTTTCTTCGTGGCACGTCCGGACAGCCTGGGAACAACCCTCCGTCCTATCTCCATCTCCAACCTCCGGATGATGATGGGCACTTCCATGGAGGAGGTAGCGGTTGCTCTTGGAGATGCAGGAAGCATTGCAGATGTAGTTCCTCTTTTGGAACACATCTACGGCGAAGGTGAGAAAGTGCACTGCACGAAATCCTATCTTTAATCACACCTTAAATCATGCGTTAAAGTAAACGCGAAGGAACAACAGCACATTGGGTGGTCCAATGCAATTTATTGTCACATAACAACATATTTTTTTTGTATTTTCTTTGGCCGGATCAAAAGGCCTCTAGCTTTGTACTGAGAACCACGTTGAGTGCTGGTTATATTACTATATGAAAGAAAACAAATTAAAAGCAGGAGAAAGACTGGCCCAGTGAAACAAGAAGTGACGATTCAGCGCAGTGACGATTCACGACTGGCCCAGTGAAACAAGAAGTGACGATTTGATTTAGCGCACGTAACCACCAATAGACTATTACAAAATACCTCTTCTCCGTTAGAAAGAGCTCATGATCGAAGTCACTAGGTTTGCCAATTATGTTAGCCACACATCGTCATCGGACTCACGCCAACCAACCAGCTATTCCCATCTTGCCCCCTCCCCCTCCGGCCAGTTTTTAAAAGCATTTCTTGTTTCATCGTCAGGTTGTACACAATACATGTTGCCAAAGAGAGAGGGGGGTATCAGTATGCGTACTGCTTAGAACCTTTTTATATACATAGCATGTCCTAAAACCCAGCCAATGTACATATCTAAGGACTTGATATTTATTACCTACGGGAAAGGAAATACCCTTCCGCGTTTTGGTCGTGTTTATGTGTTCGTATCTATAACTTACGAATTGGTTTACGAATAACTTTTGACGTCCAGACGATGTGTTTCTTTTTTTACTCCGTGAAGGAGGTCAGGACCTCCGGACGGAGTGTTGTAATCGGCTGATTTTTCATGTTCGCAGTCAAAACACTGGGTTCTCTTTGTGTAATCGGCACGCAATTTTATACGCCGTCTGCGGGCATGCCCGTGTTGATGCACGAATGTGTATTTTTGCCGTTGCTGCTTTCGCGGTCAATGTAATATCGCAGACGCACCCCTACAATTACGAGGCGAATTGGAATGGTCCAGAAAAACGCGTTGTTTGGAATAGCAGTGGGGTTCAAAAAAGTTCATGCAGATACGGGGTGGTTTTTATAAGTGGTTCCAGATGTTTTTGCCCATGGTTAAGAGATGCCAAGTTTTTTGGAAGATGTTCGCAGCCAAAACGCATTCTTCCGTACGTCGCATTTCTGTGTAATTTCGCATGTGGTGTTGCATTATGTCCGGGATGATGCACGTCTTTTTATTTTTACCGTAGCTGTTTTGATATTGGAGTAAATGCTTATTTTCGAAACATCCCCATTTCTTTGAAATGGTTTCGTCCGTTTATGCAACTGTTACTGCGCTAATGACGACCAGTCGCGCTGTCCTGATACACCGCGAATGTGCGAGTGTTCCCTGTAGACAGTCCCGGGAGTCATTTTTTTCGCACATTCCAGGAGCCAAACCAAAATACGTTCATGAACCGAGTCCAAAAAACCGAAACGTGAAAATCGGATGATCGGACCTGATGTACATTTCTCTTTCTATAGATTGTACACACAATACACACATCTTTAGATAATCTGGCCATGGCAGGTTAAAAAAAAGTAACCCTGAATCATACTAGATTAGCGTAAATGCATGTTAATGCGTTCAAAACAAGAAAAAATTGTTTCCGGGTATTAATCTCTTGAATCACGGCGCTGAATATTGACGCAAAAATATTTCGGGCATCGCGCGCCCTTCCCGCGTCACGTGTAGGCATCTCGCATCTCTGATTGGTTGTTGCGTCTTAAGATGACTGAGCCGACGCGCGTTTAAACAATTTTTCTTTGTTCGATTTATCACACTTCACAGAGAATTGTCGCCAATGGCTACTTCTTTTTGTTGCAATATATAATACTTCACGGAGAATTGTCACCTATGGCTTCTTGTTTAAAGTTTGGAATCTGAGATTTCTTGTTCTATGGTTTATTCAGACGCCACTACCATGATACCTACGAGGAGACAAGGAGAGGATGACCCAAAAGGATCAGGGGTCCCAGTCCAAACGGTGATCATCGTGGCATGCGGGACCCTGGCCGCTGTAGCTGTCGCCGCAGTCATCGGAGCAACATGGTACTGCAAAAGGTACAATGCGTTGTTTATGTACTCGTAGGGATATACATGTACATTTGGCCTGCATGACGTAGAATTCATTACCTCCAATACGCATACGGGTGTATTGCTTTCGGCTCTTTGGCTGTGAAAATAAATTCACAGACTTTAGATACTGTATTAAAGATATTATGAACAACCATGCACAGTTTCTCGAGTTATGTTGTACACAAACAAAAACACAAACTGATGGTAAGAACCGACTATTAGAGGTAGGAACACCGCATTTTTCAACTTGACCTTCGTTTCACAACCACTACACACCTACCAAATATCATTAAGATCTATTCATAGCTTCTCGATTTATGATGAACACATACAAACAAAATGCATAAAAAGTCCACAACAGTTCCATTGGAAAACACCAGGTGAACCATTTTCAAACTTGACAATCTACTTGATATCATAAAGATCCATTCACAGCTTCTCGAGTTATACAGACCCACACCACAGCCACTCCACCATGGCCAAACCAAAAACATACCCTTCTGGCGAAGGTAATAAAGTGACCAGAGGTTTTGTCCATTCTGTCCCAATGATATTGAAGACGAACAACATTTTATTTTGAATTGTACACTATATAACGATAAACGCACAAAGATGTTCAACCTTCTCTCCGCCTGCTCAACAGAATTTGTTACATTTCATGCTATAGATAAATTTAAGTTCATCCTAGAAGGCAATAACCCTTACTGTGTACAAATAGGTAAATATATCAAAGAATGTTTAAACCTTAGAACATGTAGTATTAGTTGACCTACCTATTGTTCTGTACGTAGGATATTTTCGTTGTACCCATGTATATTTGTCTGTATATCTACATGCCTTACGAAAGTCGCTGTACTTTTTGTTGTGTCAATAAAGTTCACGTATGTCTATCCATCAGAAGCAGGGCAGGACGGCGCAACGCGCCAATCGACATGTACGGCGCCCCGCTCCCAGAGTGCCGCCTGGATCCGCAGGTGTCTTCCGTACTGAAAGGGAAAGATTCGCCCTTCCTCGTCAGGAATAACATCTGGGAATAGCAAATCTAGAACAACGCCTTTCTCAAACATTAACTCAACCTCTTCCATACATAACCGGACATGGTAACGGACTGCTTAGCTGGTGTTTGAGAGTAGGTCAGAAGTGTTAGGGATGTGTTCATCCAACAGGGGTCAAACTGGACTCAAATTTGATCTAAATTCCATTGGATTCGTACAGAATGATCTGCTCAGACTGCTCCCTAATTTCAGTATTGGTTGAAAGGTTTTGAATGTGTGACAGGGTTTTATGAACGCCTAACTTTTAAAACTGCAGAGCTATGTGTTTTTATATTGATGTTTGTTTTCATGGGAGTTCATCTGTGTTGGTAGTACAGTGCTGAACTTTATTCCAACACAAAGGGTACACAGGGATCAAATTTTCGACGACCACTGTCGCCTTAATAAGGGTAAAAAATGGCATCCACATTGAATCACCGGACTATACAAATTCCCTGGACAAAGTCAGAGTACTGGACACTGAGCTACTACTGACTACTTTGTAAGAGGCACGGAAGTGCCTCTCGCTTGTTTACGTTCAGAAGTGATTGGTCACTTATTATCCTGATGATGAAAGCGACAGTAGTCGTTTAAATGTGACCATTGTGTATCCTTGTTTTGGAATAGAGTTCAGCATTACACTACATGATATTTGTTTTGTTATCACTTGTCTTTATTGTATAATAACAACCAATGCTGGTTAGAATGATTGGTTTGTTCTCTGATGTATTTAGTAAAGATTCTTAAACATACTGTGTTAATTAAAACTTGAATGTGACGCCGCATTATAATTATTTGCACATTTTATATTCTATATTGTATTCTACATGCATTTTACTAAAATATTGTATATTGGTCAGTCGCCAGGGTTAGCGCTTTGTAATAGCCTTCGGCTAGTTGGGTAATCTTGCCTGTATGTTTTTATACAACCTGTATGTTTTTATCCACCCTGGTGCATTGCTCTATCTAACCAAGTCCTTCGTGTAAAGGAATGTGAATAATAAACTGTATCAAACGTA